GGAGTGCCGGGAATGCAGCTGGGTTTGGAACAAGAAGAGACGGATGGCGTGTTGGCATTTAAAAATAAATGGGGAGGCTACGGGTTTTTCCATGGTACAAATCGTGGGGATTTTAGGGATTTTTGCATGATGAAAAGCATGGGGATTTTACAGATTAAAAAAAAAAATATATATAAAAATTATAGAAATTATAAAAATCATGGGGAAGGCTACAGGTTTTTACATTACAAAAATCATGGGGAAGGCTATAGATTTTTACATGATAAAAATCATGGGGATTTTACAGATTTAAAAAAAATATAAAAATATAAAAATATAAAAATTATAAAAATCATGTGGAAGGCTACAGATTTTTACATGATAAAATTCATGGGGATTTTACAGATTTTTTTAAAAATACAAAAATATAAAAATAAAATATAAAAATTATGGGGAAGGCTACAGGTTTTTACATGATAAAAATTATGGGAATTTTACATATTTTTAAAAAATACAAAAATATAAAATAAAATATAAAAATATAAAAATTATAAAAGTCATGGGGAAGGCTAGAGGTTTTTACATTACAAAAATCATGGGGAAGGCTAGAGGTTTTTACATGATAAAAATCATGGGGATTTTACAGATTTAAAAAAAATATATATAAAAATATAAAAATTATAAAAATCATGGGGAAGGCTACAGGTTTCCTTCTCTGCAATGCATAAAATTTCCTCCTTCCTAAAATTCCTTATAAATGTATCAAATACAACACAGATTTCCTGCCCTGTAAATGTATAAAATACAATTTTCAGAGTCAAATAACTCTTTTCACCAGAAAAAAACCCTGAGAAGTGATGATTTCTGGCCATCATCCACAGGGATGTGCAAAGACATCTTTGCCATGTGTGTCTTTCCTCTCCTCTTGGAATTTTCAGAGGTTTCAGAAGTGGATTTCTGAGTTCATATGTTGAATTTTTTCCCCTGTAAATCTTCAGTAGTTTTCCTAAATACTGAAGCAGCACTACTACCAGAAAAAGGGACTTCACCCAAGATTGAAAATCTTCTGGGGGATGCTTTGGGCAGCAGAGAGGCTGAAGGAAAGCCCAGAAGCTGCTGGGCCTCAGCTCTCAGAGGATGTGCTCCAGCACATTGGCTCTGCAGAACCTGGAGGGCTCTGGCTCTGCAGAACCTGGAGGGTTTTGGCTCTGCAGAACCTGGAGGATTCTGGTTCTGTAGAACCTGGAGGGCTCTGGCTCTGCAGAACCTGGAGAGTTCTGGCTCTGCAGAACCTGGAGAGTTCTGGCTCTGCAGAACCTGGAGGATTCTGGCACTGCAGAACCTGGAGGGTTCTGGCTCTGCAGAACCTGGAGGGCTCTGTCACTGCAGAACCTGGAAGATTCTGGTTCTGTAGAACCTGGAGGGCTCTGGCTCTGCAGAACTGGGATGATTCTGGCTCTGCAGAACTGGGATGATTCTGGCTCTGCAGAACCTGGAGGGCTCTGGCTCTGCAGAACTGGGATGATTCTGGCTCTGCAGAACCTGGAGGGCTCTGGCACTGCAGAACCTGGAGGATTTTGGCTCTGCAGTACCTGGAGGGTTCTGGCTCTGCAGAACCTGGAGGGCTCTGGCTCTGCAGAACCTGGAGAATTCTGGCTCTGCAGAACCTGGAGGGTTCTGGCTCTGCAGAACTGGGATGATTCTGGCTCTGCAGAACCTGGAGGGCTCTGGCTCTGCAGAACCTGGAGGATTTTGGCTCTGCAGAACCTGGAGGGCTCTGGCTCTGCCAGTTTTCCATCTCCCAGCAATGCCAATGGGACAGGAATGTGAGCCTCCAGCTCCTGCCCACTGCCCTCCCCGACCTTGCCCAGCCCCTGGGGATGTTTCATCTCTCTCTCTTGCCTCGCCAGAGTCCACCAACGTGGCTTTCAGCATCACCATGCTGCTGGCCAGCCTCAGCAGCTGCTGCAACCCCTGGATCTACCTGTTCTTCAGCGGGCACCTCCTGCAGGACTGCCGGGGCTGCTGGGGCCGCCCCCGGGCGGGGCTGCGCAGACCCAACTCCACCGGGAGCCTGTGCAGCAGGAAAACCACGATCCTGAGCCACAGCCACCAGGCCGGGGTCCCCCTGCACGGGGACAGCGCCAGGGAGCTGGACCCGCCCTGCGACGAGGCTGTGACAGAGTCGGGCACGCTCTAGGCTGCGGCGGTGGCAGCTGTGACAGTGCCAGGTGTGTGACAGTGCCAGGTGTGTGACACCGCCAGGTGTGTGACACCGCCAGGTGTGTGACAGTGCCAGGTGTGTGACACTGCCAGGTGTGTGACAGCGCCACGTGTGTAACACTGCCAGGTGTGTGACAGCGCCAGGTGTGTGACAGAGCCGTGTGTGACAGCACCAGGTGTGCGACACTGCCACCGCTCGCTCTCGCTGCAGAGCGTGGCTTTCCCCACCTGGTGGCACCGCGTTTTGCAGAAATCGCAATGTTTCACCCAGAAAAGCGTCGCGTCCGCCTTGTCCTCGCTGCTGTGTGCGCTGGAGGATGGACAGAGCCCCTCCGGCTGCTGCCTGACCGCAGCATCCACCCCCAGCCGCGTTTAGGGAAACTTCTGGATGATCTCCTGCGGGGAGGGACCCTGGAACCTCCGGGGAGGGACCCTGGAACCTCTGGGAAGGGACCCTGGAACCTCTGGGAAGGGATCCTGGAACCTCTGGGAAAGGATCCTGCACCCTTTGAGATCAGGGGATCCTGCAACCTCCGGGAAAGGATGCAGCATCAAGGGGGATCAAGGGATCCTGCATCCTTTGGGATCAGGGGATGCTGCATCCTTCAGAAACAGGGGATCCTGCATCCTTTGGGATCAGGGATCCTGCAGCCTCTGGGGAGGGATCCTGCAACCTCCGGGAAAGGATGCAGCATCCTTCAGAAACAGGGGATCCTGCACCTTTTGGGATCAGGGGATCCTGCACCCTTCGGGATCAAGGGATCCTGCACCTTTCAGGATCAAGGGATCCTGCACCCTTCAGGATCGGGGGATTCTGCATCCTTCAGGATCAGGGGATCCTGCACCCTTCGGGATCCTGCACCTTTCAGGATCAAGGGATCCTGCACCCTTCAGGATCAGGGGATCCTGCACCTTTTGGGATCAGGGGATCCTGCACCTTTCAGGAACAGAGGATCCTGCACCTTTCAGGACCAGGGGATGCTGCATCCACAGAATCCTCCTGGAGGGGCGGGAGTTTTGCGTTCCCAGCAGAGCAGCCGGGGCACGGCAGGCGGCAACGCGGCTCCATCTGCTCCAGAGCCGCCGCCGCCGCTTCCTCCTCCGGCATCCGAGCAGACAGCGGAGACAGAGCTGTCCCCCCGCGGGGCTGCCGAGCTCCTCTGGCCTGGAAGTGCCCCCCTGCCGCCTCCCCCGGGCCAGGGACGGGGCTGCGGGGCCCCTGGTGCTGGGCACAGCTGTCCTGCCCCACGCTGTGCCCCAAATGCGGCACTGGCACCCCCGAGGAGCTGCTGGGAGCGGCCCTGGCCCTGCTCCAGCTCAGCCGGGCTCATCCTGACTCCCCCCGTGCCCTCTCCCATCAGCTCTGCTCCCAGCCCCATCCTGTGCTCAACATCTGCTGCATCCCAGGGAGCTGCTCTCACCCTGCTGCTGCTGCTGCTGCTGCTGCTTTTGGCTGATTTTGCAGGATCAGGGGCCCAAACCCATCCTGGGCTCGGGGAGCAGGAGCTCAGTTCCCCTGCAGTCCCAGCCTGGCCCCTGCCCTGCTCCCAGGAGCTGTTTTGTGCAGGAATAAATCATGGATGAGGCAGGAAAGAGCTTCCATTAGCTCAAAAGCTGCTGTGGGTGATGTACAGGTGTCCCAGTGAAGGTTCCCAATTCCCTGAGAGCCACAGGCATTATTCCTTCCACTATCACAGGCTAAAGCTGTAAAAATAAAACATTAAGAGGAAAAGATTTTGAAATCTTCAATATTTTCACTTTTTAATCGCCAGGCTTTTGAATCAGATTTCTCAGAAGCTTCCTCTCACTGGTTTTGGCCTCACCTTCAATCCCATAATCACACCTCTCCTGGGTTTTCCAACGTTACCCAGGAATTGTTGGGGTTTTTGGAACATTTTCCTTCATGTGCCCTTCAAGCTGGGCCAGATCTGCACCACAAGGTCATGAAAGCAGGAGTGCCTGGCTCCCCCTGCCACTGATCAATCCCAAATCAATTGTCTCACAACCCTTCATTAAATCACAGCATTACTGAGCCCATTTAAAACACACTTGGGGCAGCTCCAGCCCTGAGGAAGGGGAGGCAGCAGCTCCATCCCCCTCCCAGAGCTCCCACTGGGGCACCATTCCCATTCCCAGGCACTTTGGAAGTTTATTTCTGGAAAATTCAGTAGTAACAAAATGCAGAGTGAGGAGCAGGAGGCCCAGGTGGGGAGAGACCAACCCCAGCACCTGGAGCGGGGACAAAGCAGGGAAAGCAAAAGCTGGGAGACAGGGAGAGGGAAAATCCAGTGGGAAAATTGTATTTGAAAGGATTTTATGAGGCTGATGAGCAAAACAACAACACTGAGAGGAGCTGCCAGCCAGCTCAGTGCAGGTTTGAGGATCAATGCATCTCCCTCCCATTTTGAGAGGTAAGGGGGGGGGATGTTTCTTTTTGCTTTCATGCAATGAGGGGAAAAAGGGCCGTGACACAGGAGTGGAGAGCTGATTCCAGCCTGGCTGGGAGGAGCCTTCCCCTGCCCCACCCTGCAGCCCTCGGGAACAGTGGAGCCTTTAAGGAAAAGCCAAGGAAGCTGTGGCTACGGGCGGGGGTGGTACGAGCGCTGCAGCCCGTGCCAGGCAGCGCCCCAGGGGAAGGGGACAGTGCCAGGGGAAGGGGACAGTGCCACTGTGCAGCTGCTGGGGGCTCTGGGCACCCTGGTGTGACAGCTCCACCCTGGTGTGACAGCTTCACCCTGGTGTGACAGCTTCACCCTGGTGTGACAGCCTCACATCAGTGTCACAGCTCCACAGCAGTGTCACAGCTTCACCTCGGTGTACTCCACAGCCTTGGATGCCCTGGGGCTGGAGAAGGGCCAGAAATGTGTTTTCCTCTTCTTTGGGTCCACGTTGACATAATCCATGCCAGACTTGACATTCTCGTAGTCCAGGGCAGAGCCTGGCTCGGGGCCTTTCCCTGGGAACACCAGGGATGTGTAATTGATGTTTGCCTCTGAGCCACGGCCCTGCAGGAGCAAAAGGGAGCCCAGGTCAGGCCCCAGCAGCCACCCAGGAGCCTTTGATCTCAAGCCCGTGCATCAGTTCAGGGAATCATGGAATGGGTTGGGTTGGAAGGGATTTTATGCCCATCCCATTCCCCCTGCCATGGCAGGGACACTCTCTATTGTCCCAGGTGCTCCAAGCCCCGTCCAGCCTGGCCTTGGGCACTGCCAGGGATGCAGGGGCAGCCACAGCTGCTCTGTGCCAGGGCCTGCCCACCCTCAGAGAGAAGATTTTGCTTCCTAATTTTCCTGAAGTGCCCAGGGATGCTTCCCTCTGAATGGAGGACACTGGAACGCTGCATGTGACAGGGGACAACAACCACCCCAGCCCTTATCTATGGAATTTCAATGTGGTTTGATGGATTTGCCCCTCCTGATGCTGCTCCAGAGCTGGACACAGCACCAGGTGGGCTGGGGATGATTTTCCCGTGGTACCTGAGGGCAGGAAGGGTTGTCGTTGTCTGAGTCCTCTGAGGTGTCTGAAGATGTGTCACTGCTCCCTTAAAAACACAAAACATTTACCACCCCAGCACTCCCCACAGGGTTAAAGGGAAAAAAGGATCAAGGGAGAAAAAGCAAACATGCTCAGAAGTGAAAATTCTGATCCACAAAGCCTCAGTTCGATCCCTCCCAGCCTCACTTCCCTGGGAGAAAAGGGCAGGGAGAGCCCAGCTGGGAGGAGGAGGCAGCTCCTGCTTGGCCCTTCTCCCACCCCAGCGTGTCCACAGCTCATAAGGAAGAGACATCACACAAAAGCCACCCACAAATTCCCATCCCTGTGCCAGGACAATGCCCCATTGCTGCAGAGCCCCTTACCTGCATAGGCTGGGGCTGGTTTTTGTGCTCCAGGCTGTTTTTGTGGCCCAGGTTGTTGCTGTGCTGTGTCCCCTCCAGGTGCTGAGGCTGCAGCTGGGGTGGGCTGAGGGCTGGGGTGCTCCCCAGGGCTGCTGCTCACCTGCATCCTGCAGGAATGCTGGGCTGTGAGCAAGAGGAGAGTGAGCCCTGGTCCAGCACACCCCACCCTGCTCCAGCACCCCCAGCTCAAACCAGCCCACCCCAAAATAATGATTGCTGTGCCCTGGAGCAGGCTCCTATCCATCAGTTCAATTCCTGAGATGATCCAGGGCCCTGCTCTCCCACCAGGAGAGGCTCCAGTGACAAATCACAGTGTCAGGGCCTCTTCTTGCAAGTTGGGAATGATTTTGACCCAAAGCAGAGCTGGGATCTGTGCAAATGTGAGCAGCAGTTGGTGTGAAAGAATTCCCTGCTAGAAATTACAGCTTCATCTGAACTAATACTCTGGGAGCTGATTCTTGGTATTTCCCCAGCACTTTACTAAAAAAGCAAGAAAAGAAAATGGTTTTGAAGCAACACAAGGTTGTACAACCCTCACTGATGTGTACAGCCATGTCACCCATGTCATCTCAGCTCACAGCCAGCCCTGCCCAGCCCTGCCCTGCCCTCCCCTGCCCCTTTCCCATCCCACACCCACCCAAACCAGGAAATCACCAGGGAAAGCCATTTTTTAATTACCAATTTTCCTGCTGAGCATGGTGTAAAAGGCCAGCAAGAGGAGAGGGTAGAGTATCGAGGTGAGAAGTGAGGCGGCAGCAGGAATCCAGCTGAACAAGAGAAAACCATTCAGTCTCACTGAAATCACCAATTTTTTTCAACCCTGCCATGGCTTCAAGGCACATTTTAGACTCAGGTTTGTTGGTAGCTTTTGGTTTTGCTTTTTGGTTTTGGGGTGATGTGGCCCAAAATGAGGGCCTTGGTTTTCAAGAATGATTTGAGTTTCTTGCCCCTCGTTTTTGGGGCCTGTCCCCAGAAGGGTTTTCAAAAGTCCCCATGGGGGGAATGTGGTGCTGGAGGGGAGAGAGACATGAACAGATATGATGGAATTACAGAATTGTGGAATGATGGAATGGGTTGGGACCTTTGAAGGGCACCCCCTGCCATGAGCAGGGACATTTTCAGCCAGACCAGGTTGCTCAGAGCCCCGTCCAGCCTGGCCTGGAGTGGTCCCAGGGGGGCTGTGAAGGGCTCTGTGCCCCAGGGTGCTGCACTCACCATGCACAAAGGCTCATCCTCCTGCTGGGGCGTCTCCAGGGCCTGGGGGGACACAGACAGGCAGCAGGACCTGGTGGCAACCAAAGAAATGGTCCCACTGAGCCTCACACTGCTCCACACGAGCTGGAGATCAGGCTCAGCACTTGGAAGCAGCGGTTGGATGTTGCAGATGTGAAATAAAGGGGTTTTTATTTTATCCCAGCCCTCCCCCTGTGAGAATCCCTGTGGTTCACACCCTCACAGAGCCACAGGCTGTCCCTTATCACTGAATTAATGGCTTTATACACGCTCATATCTGAGACTTGTCTGGACTTTCTGGGCTCCACCGCAATAGAATTGAAATTTGTTCTCCTTCTTCTTGTTTTAATCCTCTCTCATGGTTCATTTTTTAAAATTTTTCTCTTTTTAATCCACAAAAAAAAAAAAAAAAAAAAAAAAAGGAAGAAAACTACAAGATGAAGGAAAAAAAAATCCATGGAAAAAGTAACCAAAGGAAGGTCGTGGGTTGCTGTGAGACTCTTGCATCAGTCAAGGTCCAGACAGAAATATCAGAGGCCCTCCAACACCTCAGTGTCTGAAACACCTCGGATTTACTACTGTGAGAGCTTCAATCCTGCTGAGGTTAAGAGGGTTTAAGGCAGAAAATCAGAAAACACCAATGCCTGGGCTGGGCCCCTTGGCTTGGGACTTCTGGCCATAACACTCAAGGGATTTATAATAAAAGATAGAGGTGTTCATTTTGTAAAAATAGCAGTGGGCTGCTCCTCTTGTGAGCTTTCACTTGCAAAAAAGCACTTTAAATCCTCTCTCAGTGTTATACACTTGCTATTTATAAACGGCTGATAGGGAGAGATCTTCAGCTGAGGCTTTGATACAGTGATTAAAGCAGCCATGATAATTTGATTGATAGGCTGATGGATAAATTGATAGAGCAAAGGCATTATCCATCCTGTGGAGCAGATTCTATCATTTCCTCTATGACACATTTCTGAGCCTAATTCATCAAAAGCTTTCCTGATAACCACCAATCTGCTGCAAAATTCCACTCATGCAAACAGTTTGATGACTGCCAAGCTGAAAGTTCATTTTTTTGCAGATATTTTCCCCCTCCCTTACTGAATAAATCTGTCCCCAAATATCCTTCTCAAAGGGCTGCCACTGTTGAAAGGCTCATTTCCTACTGTGGGGCAGGAGACGCTGCTGCAGCAGCAGATAAGGATCTGAAAAATGAGCTGTTCAAAAGGAAATTGCAAAATAAGCCCCAAATCCAACTATCAGCAGCTTCTGTGCCGAGGTGGGTACAGCGAGATGGAGGCACCGATATCAGGTGGGTATCAAAAAATCTGATTTGAGACAGCAACCAGTGAGAGCCTGGCACCAAATGTGCTTTTTTGGGGGCCTCAGGGGACTTCTGTGAGCCTGCAGCCTCCAGGACTTCAACCCTTTCTCAAGAAAATGCTGAAATCAAGGCTTGCAGGGAGCTGCTCCTCGGCCGGGCAGCGAGGGCCAACCTGAGGCATCTGCACTCGGCTAAACGTGAGTCAAAGCTCTAGAATGCCCCAAATTATTTTAATCCCACTTGAGCCAGGCCCAGCTGGTTCACTGGAGCTCAGGATGGCACCAAAATGTGCCCAGGGGGATTCCCAGCCCAGCTCTGCTCCCGCTGTTGCACCCTCTGCTTCTTGCGCCATCGCACCCGGAGCGCGGCGCCCAACGCGGCCTTACCTGGGCTCAGAGCTTTCCAACCTTCCCTTCCCCACAGCCTGGGGCAGCTGGGGCCCTGCAGGCAGCAGGATTTGGGGCTGTTTCAGCAGGGTTTGGGGCTGTTTCAGCAGGATTTGGGGCCGTTTCAGCAGGATTTGGGTGCAGAGCGGGGTCTGGCAGCGTGGCGGTGCCGGATGCGGTCACGCTCTGCCCCCAGAAGCAGAGCCCACACGAGTTCCATGACACATCCCCTCTGCCCAGCAGCCTCATTTAAATAGATTGGGGTGTTCCTCTGCTGTTCTGCAGCTGTTTTGCTGCTGCACCCCTCCATCAATTCTCTGTCTTCCAGCAGCTTTGTCCCAAAATTCAGCTGAGCTTCCCTGGAGCCAAGCGGTGCTGGGGGAGCTGTGCCCAGCTCAACTCAGCTGCCACCCAAAACGAGCTCTGGGTGCTTCCAAGCAAACATTTTGCACAGGGATGAAGCATTTTCCACCACCTGGCTCCATGGCTGCTGGGGGTGGCTGGGCCTCCACCTGCCCACACTGTGGAAAATGTTCTGCAAGCTTTGGGGTGCAAGCAGCAGCCTGGCAGATCCCATCCTGAGAGTCCCCAGGAGTTTTGGGGATTGATGGCTGCTGGTTCATAGGAACTGTGGGGTTTGTAGCTCTGGAAGTGCCCTGGCAGAAAGGAACAAGAAATTCCCTTTTTTTTCAAGGTGCCTGACTCATGGGGACGATGCCTGTTCGCCTTCCAACATCTGCACCAGCCCACAGCAATCCTGCCCCAGGGATACAACATCTCAAAGAATCCTCCTGGATAATCCAAAAGCAAAAAGAAGATTTCAAAAAACATCACCTACCCCTGGAGCTGCATCACAAGTTGGGGTCACTTCCCAAATTCCTCTTCATCCCTGGGACTGCTCCCACCATCCACCAGCTGCATCATCAGATGTTGGTCCTGCTCTCCTCACAGCTGCTGCACCCCAGGTAAATATTTTGGGGTTTATTTAACTGAAACTTGCTTGTTTGTTGATTTTTTTTCAGGTGAAACTTTGCTGCTGCAACACTTTCAAGTGCTCGGTGGCGGATAAACAGATTAACAGGTGGGAGAAGTGTCTGATAAAGGCAGGAAAAAAGGGTTTTTTACAAAACACTGCTGAGGCACAGTGTGAATCAACCAGGGCAGTGGCTCCACTAAAGGAAATGTGTAAGAAGGAACACAGATAACACGTTTTTACCCTGAGAACAGGTTTTTTAAACAAAGAAAATGCTTCACACAGAGCTGGTGAGAGGTATTTTTTCTACCCAAGGGGCAAAACCTATTTCTGATCCAACTGTGTGGCCCTGGAGGGGTGGGACACAGCTGGGGACAGGCCCTGACTGGCAGAGCCCATTCCTTTCTTACCAGGCTGGGATGTTGCAGGAGCTGGGGTCACCTTTCCTCAACTTCTCCAGAGCAGCACAGGCTGGCCCTGCCAAGCTGAGGGACACCAAGGCTGGGAAATTGGGCATCTCCTCCCTCTGCCTTCCACACATTGAGCTACAGCTGGAATATGTATGAAACAAAGCTTTTTTGACCCAATTTTCTGTGCAAATCCAGCCCAGTTGCTCCCAAAACATAGAGAAAAAAAAAAAAAAACCAAAAAACCCACCACTTTGTTCTACTTGAAATAACAATTTTCAAGTGCTCCTAAGAGTTGAGCTTTTAAAATGGCTTCTAAAATAACTCAAAAGTCTAAATAAATTTGCTTAGCTGCAAAAATTTCTAAATGAAAGCTCTGGCCTCGTTATGACTTTCATCTTCCTATTTTAAGGCTGAATCTGCTGCCAGGAGTTTGCAGATTATGATGATCCAATTGGGGGATCTTTTCCACCAAATAAACTATTTCACTTAAAGTGTTTGGCGTGTCTGTGCTGCTGCTCACCCTCACGTTTATCTCCAAAGCCCAGTGACCCTTCAGGCTGGGTTTTCTGATAGGATTTTCGGGTTATAAACCATGTCTGGAACAATCCACTTGCTGTTTTCAGCTTATCTGGCACTTGCTGCAGCTGCTTTTGTTTTAGCAAGTTTCTTTCTAATCCATGAATATGTGATTAGGACAAGGAGGGAGGCTGGTACATTAAACTGCATCTCAAAAGGGGAAATAGAGAATAAATTTGTATAAAAGCCACTTGTTAAAAAAATATTGCAGCGTGGGGGAATGAAGGGAATTTTCATTTGTTTTGAAAAAACAGCTGCATTTGCCATCGGCATCAACTGTGCTGTGCCCAACGTTTTCCTGCTCATATTGAGAAATATTTGATGGATTTTTTAAAACTTAATCTGCCCTCAAAGCTGGGGAGAGGAGAGGCCTGGCAGCACCTCCAGGGATGGGGACACAAGATCCCGGTGACAGCAGGACGTGACTTAGCTGTCCCCAGCCACCCTCGGTACCTGTGCCTCACAGATGAGGACTTTTTAATTTCCTGGGCGAGGGCTTTAATTAGATAAAAATTTAATTAGATAAAACAGGCTCGCTGGGACAAACAAAAAATTGATTAGCACGGTGCTAAAGCCTGTTAATCACGTGAATGGGGCTCGCTGAGCAGAACACCCCCTTTAGCACCCAAAACCATGGAAAATAAGGACAGCATGCAAAAAAAAAAAGGGCCTGGGAGATGGTGGCAGCAGGAAAAACCTTGCCTGCCCCCACTCACTCCCTCCATGTCTGAAGGCTTTATTTGTTCATCAGCATTTTCTGTTTGCACTCGCTGAGGCTTTAATGAGAGCCCGTCCTGGGTAAAACAAAACCCACAGAGGACGAGCCCATTAACGCCTGCAGAGCACCAGGAGCTGTGTCCCTTGGAAAACTGCTCCTTCCCGGCCTTTGGAAAGGAAAGTTGAGGATTCCCGAGCTGTTCATCACTGCTAATTAGGCTTTGCCTTTTAAAATTAGGTCGATGGAACAAACACATCCCTTTCCTGCACGTCCCTGCAGCTGCTGGGCTTTGGGGCACCCCACAGCCATGGGCAGCTCCTTGGGGTGGGGCTGTGGGGTGAAGGAGAAGGGAAATGTTCCTCCAAAGCATTTTGGGGGGTTTCCACCAAAATGGTGGCGGGATGGGAACTGGTGCTGGGATGGGGACCCCACTCTGCTCCCTCTGTGGGATCTCCACTGCCCCAAAATCAGCCAAACCCTCCCCTGCTCAGCTCCCACAGGCCCCCCAGCGCCGTCCTCACCCAGAAAAGCAAACGTGACCCCGGAGTGCCCGCTCAGCCTCGCCTGGGCCGTGGCCAGTGATTCATTGTGGGTGCCCGAGCCCGGTGTTGACTCTGGCAGGGCTGTTATCGAGCTTGGCACCGTGGGTATAAGAGCGGCACCGCGGCGGGCACAGCCACCATCCCCACCATGAGGCGCCTGCTGCTCCTCACCGCGCTCTGCCTGGCCCTGGCCAGCGCCCTGAAGAGGTAAGGGGGTCCCCAGAGTCCCCAAGGTCCCCAAGGTTCCCAGGGTCCCCAGGGTCTGGGGGGGACACTGCCAGGGCTGTGATGGGTGGCAGAGCTCAGCCTGTGCCAGAGCGGTGGCACCGTGCTGGGATTTGCGGGTGCTCCGTCCCTCCGGGCAGAGCCTGGCAGCAGCAGGAGGGGCTGTGAAGGGGTCTGTGCAAGCAGGGAGGGCAGAAAAAAGCATCCTGGATTGCCCTTGGCCCTGCTCGCCCTGCCCAGCCCCAAGGGCCTTCCCCTCGGTGGCACTGCCAGGAACTGGAGGCTCTCCTGCCAGCTCCTGATCTCCTGTGCCCAGAAACACATCCAGTGCCCCTCTTCTGCTGTGCCTCAGCTGGAAATTGTTGCAGAGAGGGGATGTGGGCTCTGAACCCCCATCCTGGCAGGGTCAGGACCCTCCGGGTGGGCAGAGGACATGGGCAGCACACACAGGAGTGACCAGGACTTTCAGGGTGGGCACAGCATCCACAGGAGAGTCCAGGACCCTCAGGGTGGGCACAGGACATGGGCAGCAGCTCCATGAGTGCCCAGGACCCTGAGGGTGGGCACGGCACCCACAGCAGTGACCAGTGCCCTCAGGGTGGGCACAGCACCCTCAGGGTGGGCACAGCACCTGGGTGGTGCCCTCAGGATGGGCACAGCACCCTCAGGATGGGCACAGCACCCTCAGAGAGGGCACAGCACCTTCAGGGTGGGCACAGCACCTTCAGGGTGGGCACAGCACCCTCATGGCAGTGCCCAGCACCCTCAGGGTGGGCACAGCACCCTCACGGAGGGCACAGCATCCTCAGGGAGGGCACAGCATCCTCAGGGTGGGCACAGCACCTTCAGGGTGGGCACAGCACCCTCATGGCAGTGCCCAGCACCCTCAGGGTGGGCACAGCACCCTCAGGGAGGGCACAGCATCCTCAGGGTGGGCACAGCACCGTCAGGGCAGGCACAGCACCCTCAGGGTGGGCACAGCACCCTCAGAGTGGGCACAGCACCGGGGCGGTGCCCTCAGGATGGGCACAGCACCCTCAGGGAGGGTACAGCACCTTCAGGGTGGGCACAGCACCCTCAGGATGGGCACAGCACCCTCATGGCAGTGCCCAGCACCCTCAGGGTGGGTACAGCACCCTCAGGGCAGTGACCGGGCTCTCAGGGTGGGCACAGCACCCTCAGGGTGGGCACAGCACCCCGGCACTGAGCGGGCCCTTCCCGCAGGGTGCCCCTGAGCCGGCGCCGCTCGCTGCGGAAGCTGCTGCGGGAGCGGGGGCAGCTCTCGCACCTCTGGAGGGCCCGGGACGCGCCGGCCGCGAGCAGCGAGGACTGCGCCGCCTTCTCGGAGACCAACGAGCCCCTCATCAACTACCTGGACGTGAGCAGGGCGGCACCGCGGGCTGGGAGCACCCCCAGTTTGCCCGAGCAGTGCCCACAAACCCCGCGGCTCCAGGCAGTGCCCGGCGTGCCAGGGCTCGCTGCCTGCCCGGCCCTTTGTCCCCGGGGTTGTCAGGAGAAGGACAAGGGAGGGCATTCATGGCAGGCACCGCCAGCCCCTTCCCTCCTTGCCGCGCTCTGTCCGCCCCCTGGGCTCAGATTTACTCCAAAATTCAAATTATTCAGGGCAGAGCCCCCCACAGAGGTGGAGGGAGCTCCCCAGGACAATCCCATTCCCAATTTCCCTGTCCCCAAAGCCCTGCCTGGTGACAAGGGTCCCCTCGGGGCCCAGCCTTGCCAGGAAGAGGCAGAGGCCTGTACCCAACGTGCTGCCTTTTATCCTCAGTCCCCACTGCTGTTCCTTAAATATTTGTCTCCTTTATTCCACCTGGCACAGCACAGATCAAACACTGAGCCCCATCCGTGCTCTGCAGACACCCCAGGCTCTGTTTTGCTGGCATTTCTGGCTGTGCTGGTGGCTCACAGTGCTCTCTGTCCCCCCTCTTTGGCAGATGGAGTATTTTGGGCAGATCTCCATCGGGACACCCCCCCAGAATTTCACTGTGGTGTTCGACACTGGCTCCTCCAACCTCTGGGTGCCTTCTGTCTACTGTGTCAGCAAAGCCTGCAGTGAGTGGGGAGCCCCTGACCCCAGAGAGGCCACAGGCCACCAGCCCCAAGGCCATGGGGACCCTCCTAAAAGTGACAGAAATCCAGGGGTGAAAGCATGGGGTGACAGCTCAGCAGGGGACAAACGTGGCCTCTTGGAGCTGTCAGAGATCAGCCAGCTCTAGAGAGCCCAGAGGGACCAGAGCATCCCCGAGCAGCCCCAGGGCTGCCCCAGAGCTCAGTGGGAATTGGGGAATGGGACTGGATCTCACAGGGAATTGGGAAATGGGACTGGAACTCACAGGGAATTGGGAAATGGGAGTGGATCCTGCAGGGAATTGGGGAATGGGACTGGAACTCACAGGGAATTGGGGAATGGGAGTGGAACTCACAGGAAGTTGGGGAATGGGAGTGGATCCTGCAGGGAACTGGGGAATGGGACTGGATCTCACAGGGAATTGAGGAATGGGACTGGAACTCACAGGGAATTGGGGAATGGGAGTGGATCCTGCAGGGAACTGGGGAATGGGACTGGATCTCACAGGGAATTGAGGAATGGGACTGGAACTCACAGGGAATTGGGGAATGGGAGTGGATCCTGCAGGGAATTGGGGAATGGGACTGGATCTCACAGGGAACTGAGGAATGGGACTGGATCCCACAGTGCTGTGAGGCTCCTGCTGGCTGTAACCAGGGACAGCAGTGCTCATCTCAGGACTCATTAAATGCTGCTGATCCTGCTCTCCCTAAGAGCCCTTGCACCCTTCATCAGACTGAAATGGGAGAGGTTTTCTCCCCCCTCAAAACTCCAGCACGTCCCTCAGCAGAGCCCCCATAACCAGGAGTTTTGGTGACACCATTCTGCCATCATTTCGCCTCACTCGGGGCTCCTGGCAGCTGTGGCCATACAAAAAGACCCAACATTTCTGGTGATAGATCCCATCTCCTTCCTCAGCTGAGCACACCAGGTTCCAGCCAACCCAGTCCAGCACCTACCAGGTGATAGGGACCCCGTTCTCCATCCAGTACGGCACCGGGAGCCTGACGGGGATCATCGGATCTGACCAAGTAGCCGTGAGTGCCCTTTGGGTTGCCCTGCTCTGGACAATGTGCCTGGGACTTGCCCACGAGCTCGGGCCCTCCACAGAACCCCCTCCTCCCTGCAGGTCGAGGGTCTGGCTGTGAGCAACCAGCAGTTTGCAGAGAGCATCAGTGAGCCTGGAAAAGCCTTCCTGGATGCTGAGTTTGATGGGATCCTGGGGCTGGCTTATCCCTCCCTGGCCGTGGATGGGGTCACCCCTGTCTTCGACAACATGATGGCCCAGAATTTGGTGGAGCTGCCCCTTTTCTCCGTCTACATGAGCTCGTATGGACGTGGCTTTGCTCCAGGATGCTGCTTGGAGTCTGGCATTGCTTTAGGGAGCAGGAGGGGCTGCTAAAATACAGATCATGAAGGGGGGGTTTGGTACCAGATTGAGCATCGCAGACCTCTGGCCTTGCAGCATGTGGGGGGAGAAAGTTGGGGTAAAGTCATGCTAAATGGACAAAAATCCTTCATGTGTCCTCCTCCTGCCAGAATCTGGGGGAGCTGCCCGTTTTCTCTGTCTACATGAGCTCGTGTGGACATGGCTTTGCTCTGGGATGCTGCTTGGAGTCTGGCATTGCTTTAGGGAGCAGGAGAGGCTGCTAAAATACAAATATTTCACTGAGATAATGAAGGGGGTTTGGTACCAGATTGAGCATCGCAGACCTCTGGCCTTGCAGCATGTGGGGGGAGAAAGCTGGGGTAAATTCATGCTAAATGGACAAAATTCCCTCATGTGTCCTCCTCCTCCTCCTCCTCCCTGCAGGAACCCTGACTCCCCCCAGGGAGGAGAGGTGCTTTTTGGGGGCTATGACACCTCCCGCTTCACGGGCACCCTCAACTGGGTGCCAGTCACCCAGCAGGGCTACTGGCAGATCCAGCTGGACAAGTGAGTGCTGCTGGGCAGGGAGGGAGGGCAGGGCAGGGCTGGGCTGGCAGAGCACCACAAATCCCTCCTGCTGCTTCTCTTCCAGCATCCAGCTGGGTGGGACAGCCACATTCTGTGCCAATGGCTGCCAGGCCATCGTGGACACCGGGACGTCGCTCATCGTGGGTCCCACCAAGGAGATCAAAAAACTGCAAAACCTCATTGGGGCTGTGTCTGTGGATGGAGAGGTGAGAGCCAGGGTGGAGACAGGAGGGGACAAAGCCTTGGGGACCTTTCCCTGCTGGAAGGGACCCCCTGAGCCCCCGGCTCTGTTCCAGTATGCCGTGGAGTGCAGCAACCTCAGCGTGATGCCTGACCTGACCTTCACCATCAACGGGCTGCCCTACACGCTCAGCGCCCAGGCTTACACCCTCGTGGTATGGTTGTGGCTCCCTCAACCCCAAATCCCAGCTGCTCCAGTGGCAAAGGTGGCCCAGCCCCACGCCAGGAGCTGGCAGTGTGTCCCCAAGGGTGACAAACCCTGCTGGGTTCTGCTTCGCCGCCCTTCCTGGGTGTTTCCATGTGCACGAGGCTTTCGGCTTCATCCCCAGCTTTCCGCTTCTCCTCCCCAGGAGGATGCTGATGGCATGGCCTTCTGCACCAGTGGCTTCCAGGGCAGCGACATCCCCCCTCCCACAGGACCCCTCTGGATTTTGGGAGATGTTTTCATCCGTCAGTTCTACTCCGTCTTCGACCGTGGGAATGACATGGTGGGGTTGGCCCCTGCTGTCCCTTAGGGCTGTGACATCCGTGGGGCAGGAGAGGAACGGACCTTGGCAGGGCAGGGGATGTCACCCTGTCCTCCTCAGTGTCCCCAGGGGGTTGAAGACATCCCCAGGGATGCAGTGAAGAGGCCAGCAGAGGTTCAGTCCACACCAGGACACTGTGATATAAAAATGTCTCGGGCAGCTCTGTGATCTGCTCTGCACATTTTCTCTTTTTAAATCCTGAGCCAATAAAAATGTCAATAAACCCAAACTTCTCATGCTTCTGTCAGCAGCAGCCCAGCAGAAATCCTGCACATCTCAAAGGTTTTTGTTAGGGGTTAAATCCTCCTTGCCCATGTCCCGTTCTCCTCCCTGGGTGATCCATGGCACTGGGATTTCCACAGGGGCAGAAAGAAGGGGATGCTTTGCCCAGGTAGAGCAGAAATCCCTGGAGGTGGCTGTGGCCATCCCAGGAGCAGGGCAGGGGCTGAGGGAGCACTGGGAATGCACCTTTCCTCAGCTGGGGCTGGTAAACAAAAAGGTAACAAGGAGACTGGAAAGACCCTGGGGCTCTTTCTGTGCCACACAACTGCAAGAGCCACCGGTGATTTCCAGTGAACTTTGCTTTGATTCCTTTGGGGAACTCACAACAAACTGTGCTTGGTGGGTCCTTGAAGCAAAAAGGGCAAAGCAGCTGCTGAGCCCTGGGCTGGGCTGGCTCAAAGTGTGGGGGGCTGTGGGGGCCATGGGGGTCCCCAGGAGTCACCGTGGCACACGTGACTTGCTGACAGAGTGTGACAGTGCACGAGTGGCAGTGGCTCATGAGTGATGCACCCTGAGGCAGCAAGAAAGGGAAGCACAAAAAGGTTATTTTTATCCAGGCCTTTGCTCTGTTTTCCCCAGTGACTCTGAAGCAAGGCCAGCGGTGCCAAGGCTGGGCTGCTGGAGTGTCCATGTCCCAGCCCAGCCTGGTGGCTGCTCCATCCCTCCTAGAGCAGAGCAGCCTTCAGGGCTGGGGCTGGGAGCTCTGGACTATTCAGATCTGCTTGTAAACTTTGCGGCTGAGCCTTGTGGTTTGCAATAAAGGGAGATATCTGCCTTACCCAGAGGCACTGATTGTGCCACTGACCAGCGTGGGCTCTCTGAGTTTCCTGTGTTGACTTTACCCCTGCTGAGTCCCAGATAAGGTGCTGGGGCTGATGGACAAAGGTCTCCTGTCCCTCTTCCACCTTAACCCTTAGCACGCCAAGGTGCTGCTGAGCACGAGCCCAGGGGCTGGGGGGGAGCATGCAGCTCCCCCAGCATGACAGGGGCCACCCAGTGTCCCCAAAGAGCAGCTGGCAGTGAGAGCTGGCCTGGCCTGGAGTCACCCAGGACTGCTCTGGTGCTTTGTTTTTGGGATCTCAGGGCACTCCGTGCCTTCTTGACAGGTTTGGGGGGGAAGTTGCTCAAACAAATGTTTGAAGTTGCTCATCCCAATAAAGAGTGACCCTGCTGTCCCCCAGGGAGGCTGAGCAGTGCAGGGAACACTTGGATGCCCTTTGCTTCCTTCCCTTTCCGTCACTCCCATGGCCCTGCAGGGCACAGGCCATCCTCTCCTTGTCCCCATCAGCCTTTTGCCCAGCTGTGGGTTTCATCACAGTCACAGGCCACAAAACCCACGCCTTTTCCTCAGAACTGCTGACATGGGGGAGGAACCAGGGCAGGACTGAAGCTGTGGTCACTGGAGCTGCTGAGTGACGCCTTGGCCATCACCTCCTCCCCACCACTGCTCCCACTGCCTTCATCCAGGCAGAATCTCAGCCCAGGGGGGATTAGGAGAGCAGGAGCTTTGGGAAAATCCCTTTTCCTGTGAAATCAAACAAAAGCCAGAGATAAGGCTGATGCACCCTGGTGGGTACAGCCACCCTGGCTAAAAGCAGAAGTGGCCGTGGGCATCAGCTGCAGTTTGGGATTGACCACAAACCCCAGCCCCAGCAGCATGGAGAGGCTTTGATCATCTGATAGGGTGAGCAATCCCCCATCCCACCAGGGACACATGAGAGGAACGAGGGCAGAAGTTGTTGTAGGGGGAGGTTGAACAAGAAATTGTCTGTGCAGGAGCAAAGGTGAAGCAGGATGGTGAAAAGGGACTGAAAATGGGGATTAGGAGAGAGCTGCTCCAGGGAAATGTCAGCCTTTTACCCACCACTGGTGAGAACTGGCTCAGGTTCTCCTGCCTCAGCCCAGCTCCTCCCAGCGCCTGCCCTCTGGGGGGAAAAACAGATTTTTCTGGCCAGACAGGTCCCAAAATTACACCTGGAGAAGAGGGGGAGGAAGGTTTGTCCTGCACTGCTGGGTGCAGTGATCCTCCCTGAGATCCCATCAGAGTCTGCAAGGGGGGGAAAAAAATCTACAAAAATGCTGGAAGTGGAAAAGCAAAAGCTGGTGGTCTTGGAGGGATCCCAAACCCTGGGCACGGAACCACCATCAACTGGGGGCTGCAGGTTCAGGATGAGGGAGGGTTCACAGATGGGGGACACCCCACTCCCACTGCAAAGCCCAAATCCTGCAGAATGCTTGGCAAAGGCACAGGACCTGCCCTGGCACGTCGGGAAGCAGAGCTCTGCCTTTGTGGCCGTGGCCAAGCAGGTTCTCCCACTCCAGAGAGCCCTGGGCGCACGCCTGGTGCTGGGATTGCTCCACAGGGGCAGCTGAGATCCCCAAAATCCCATTTACTGATTGAACACATCCTCCTGCAGATGTCACCAGCTCTGTTCCCTCTTTTTGGGGTATTTCTGGGGTGCCTGTGCTGCCTGTGGGTGCCTGGTGGGACCCCTGTGGGCTCGGAGCTGCGGGGATGTCCCATGAGGGGCTGGAAACGCTCGTGATCCCCACCCTGCCCCTTTCCTGCCTGGAAAAGGAGACACAGCCACACAGAGCTCCTCAGAGGGATCCCAGCCGCTCCTGAGCCGTGCCCAGCTCCCAAATCCGTTTATCCCATCCCACGATATCAGAGCAAAGTCCAGCATGGCTCCAGGGATGCTGCCACAGCCCCGCCCGGCTTTTGTCCTCATCGCTCAACAATTGCCCAGCAGGGACGCAGATAAAGGGTCAGAAAACCCTTTTAAAGGAACCGAGGGCATTCTGAGCCAGAGGAGCGGCCCAAAAGTCCATCCCAAATTCCAGAACCTCCTTCCCCATCGGAGCCCGAGCCGGGGACACTGGGCAGAGCCGGGAATCGAAGGCAAATCCAAGGACACCCAGCGCCTGCCCGCGGCTCCTCCAGCCCCGCCGGCATCTCGGCCCCTTTCTGCTGATGTCACGGAGCGGGGCCCCGTAGCCGCCTTCCCCGGGAGGGCAGGGATCGGCCGCCCCTTCCCGGATCCTCCTCTCTCGCCTCTCCCGTCCCCTGCCCGGGCCGGCTGCAGCGGAGCCGGGAGCCGCGGCTGCCCGGCAGGTGAGTGCTCCGCAGGTGAGTCCTGGGGCAGCCCAGAGCCGCGGAGCAGCAGCGAGGGGAGGAAACTCCATTTTGAGTTTAGAAACATCTGGCGTCCCAAAAAGCTGGCGGAAGCACCAGGAAGTTTGTGTGTGCTGAGACACGAGGCTGTGCCCGTGCCCAGGATGATGCCCGCGGCTGGGCACGGGGGGCAGAGGGGGCAGGGGGGCCTGGAGCCTGATTTCAGAGCTGGTTTTCAGGGCTGAGCTTTACAGCTGGGAGCTCCCCGCTGGTGTTCCAAGGGGGAATGGCGCAGGGCTGGCCAGCGCATCAGGGAAAAATGCAGGGATGAGGCTGCCAGCGTTTCCATCCGTGCCTTGGCCGCTGCCGTGGGGATGAGGCTGCTGCGGCTGCTGGGGGATGCTGGTGCCACCTCAGGAGGGGGTTTCAGGGGTCCTGGCCAGGCTCAGAGCATTTGAGGACACTGGGACATGATGGGGACACATCCTGGGGGGACATTTCAGGGTGCTCCTGGGCGAGGATGCTCCCTGGGCTGTGCTTGAGGCATCAAGGAATTCCTTCTGGCTGGGGTCTTCTTGAATAAATTTAATTTTCAGCAGCACCCCAGGCGTGCGTGCCAGGCCGAGGGGGAGGGACTGCGCTGGAGAGGGGGTGGGAGAAGCAGGGAAGTGGCTCCCGGCAGCTTTGAATGGTGATGAACCGGCGAGTCCGGGCGTGCTGCGGCTCCTCGGCAGCGGGCGGGGACGTGGGCCGGGCTTGGCATGGGAGGGTTTTTCTGTCCCCACCATGCCTGGGACTCAAGTGCTGGCATGGCACGGGCGTGATGCTGGCACGGTGAGGGCACAGCCACATCCCGGGGTGGCAGCAGGGACAGGACCCCAGGGCTCACCCAGGTGCCATCCCCACAGCCCCGCTCGCCCCTCTCGCCCCCAGGGCCTGTCCATGGATGCCAGCAAGAAGGTGGATCTGAAGATCATCATCATCGGAGCTCTGGGGTAAGGAGCTGGCCAGGGAGGGAAGCCCCCTGCGTGTGCTGGGTGTCCCCTGAGCTGGGCCAAGCCTCACCAGTGCCCCTTTCCTCGTCCCCAGTGTGGGCAAGACCTCCCTGCTGCACCAGTACGTGCACAAGAAGTTCTACGAGGATTATCGCACCACGCTGGGCGCCAGCATCCTCACCAAGGTCCTGCCCGTGGACAGCACCCCCCTGAAGCTGCAGGTGAGCGGGGTGAGCTGGCAGTGCCCACCCTGATCCCAGCTCTGCATCCCAGCCTGGCCTGCTGGGCCCAAGTGCCACCGCGGTCATGAGGTGCAGAGCCCGATTTTCAGGGCTGATGTTTAGAGCTGAGCTTCAGAACCCAAATTTCAGAGCCTGATTTTCAGAGCCTGATTTTCAGAGCTGATTTTCAAAGCCTGATTTTTGGAGCCTGATTTTCAAAGCCCAATTTTCAGAAGTGATTTTCAGAGCTGATTTTCAAAGCCTGATTTTTAAAGCCTGATTTTTGGAGCCTGATTTTCAAAGCCCAATTTTCAGAAGTGATTTTCAGAGCTGATTTTCAAAGCCTGATTTTTAAAGCCTGATTTTTGGAGCCTG